CTAGGCACCCTGGTCAGTCTGGGAGGTATTTTCATGTTCTGTGGGTGGGGGGGGGCTATGTGAGTTTGTGGCAGGGTAGGGTGGTTACAGATCTTATGCAGCGGTCCTTAGCCTGGATGACAGAGCCACACAGCAGGGGATCTGTAACCGCCCTCCCCCGCCACAAAGTCACATAGCCCCCACACACAGAGTCTCGAAAAGGAGGGGTGGCAGGCTCCGTTGAAACAACCAGTCCACCACTGCAGACCGCTCTAGGAGCAGGAGCCTGTCATTCCTCGAGTTTAGAAGTGTCCTTTCCATCACTACACCCGCTCCCCACCACAGTCTGTGTCCCAGTTTCAACCCTTTACCGCGAAATCCTTAATAAAGAAAACGGTGTTAATGAACAAAGTTTCATTTATTTTTAAAGGTGTGTTGGAAGGGGGGAAAGGTGGTTGGTAACTGGAGAGGATAGTCAACATTAACTGGGTAAAGAAACGGGGGCAGGTTCAGCTTCTGTTTAAACAAACGTAATAGTCACAGGTTACCCTGCTCACTCTGGAACCTAGCTTTCAAAGCTTCCCGGATGCACAGCGCATCCCACTGGGCTCTTCTAATCGCCCGGGTGTCTGGTTGGGCGTAATCAGTAGCCAGGCGATTTGCCTCAACCTCCCATCCCACCATAAATGTCTCCCCCTTGCTCTCACAGAGATTGTGGAGGTAACAGCAAGCTGCAATAATATTGGTTTCGCTGAGATCAGAGCGAGTCAGTAAGCTTCTCCATCTTCCCTTCAGACGTCCAAAAGCACACTCCACCACCATTCTGCACTTGCTCAGCCAGTAGTTGAAGAGTTCTTTTTCACTCTCCAGGGCACCTGTATAGGGCTTCATGAGCCAGGGCATTAGCGGGTAGGCTGGGTCCCCGAGGATGACTATAGGCATCTCCACATCCCCAACAGTTATTTTGAGGTCCGGGAAGTAAATACCTTCCTGCAGCCATCTAAACAGACCAGAGTTCCTGAAAATGCGAGCGTCATGAACCTTGCCTGGCCATCCAACATTGATGTTGGTAAAACGTCCCCTATGGTCCACCAGTGCTTGCAGCACCATTGAAAAGTAGCCCTTTCAGTTAATGTATTGGCTGGCCTGGTGGTCCGGTCCCAGGATAGGGATGTGAGTTCCATCTATAGCCCCACCGCAGTTTGGGAATCCCATCGCAGCAAAGCCATCTATGATCACCTGCATGTTTCCCAGGGTCACTACCTTTGAGAGCAGTAGCTCAATGATTGCGTTGGCTACTTGCATCACAGCAACCCCCACGGTAGATTTGCCCACTCCAAATTGATTGGCGACTGACTGGTAGCTGTCTGGTGTTGCAAGCTTCCAGAGGGCTATGGCCACTCGCTTCTGGACAGTCAGGGCTGCTCGCATCTGGCTGTCCTTGCGCTTCAGGGCAGGGGACAGCAACTCACAAAGTTCCAGGAAAGTTCCCTTACGCATCCAAAAGTTTCGCAGCCACTGTGATTCATCCCAGACCTGCAGCACTATGCGGTCCCATCAGTCCGTGCTTGTTTCCCGGGCCCAGAATCGCCGTTCCACAGCATCAACATGACCCATTGCCACCATGATGTCCACGGCACGGGGTCCCGTGCTTTGTGAGAGGTCTGTGCCCCTCTCAGACTTAATGTCCTCACCGCGCTGCCGTAGCCTCCTCGCCCGATTTCTCAGCATCTGCCTCTGAAAAAGGTACATGATAAGGCGCGAGGTGTTGACAACGGCCATAACTGCAGCGATGATCGCAGCGGGCTCCATGCTTGCGGTGCTGTGGCATCCGCGCTGTCAATCACAAGAAAAGTGCGTGAACTGATTGCCCGCTGGCGCTTTCATGGAGGGAAGGCGGGAGTGAGGGTTGAATGACGACAGTTACCCAAAACCACCCTCGACACATTTTTTTGCCCAGGCAGGCATTGGGGGCTTGACCCAGAATTCCAGTGGGCAGCTGGGACTGCGGGAACTGTGGGATAGCTACCCACAGTGCACCGCTTCCAGTCTCGATGCTTGCCCCGTTAGTGTGGACTCACAAAGTCGAATTACTGTCCTTAGTGTGGATACACACGTTCACTTTGTAATATCGGTTCCACAAATTCGCTTTAAGTAAAATCGAACTACTCTCGTAGTGTAGACATACCCTAAGATGTCAGGGAGGGTTGCAGTCTGGGGTGTCAGGCATCTGTGGAAGCACCAGATGGAGAAGCGTTTCCACTTTTGCAGGTAAGTCTTATGAGTGGAGTCCCTTCTACTGTGCAGGAGGACTTGTTCCGAGCAGGTTAATTCGTGGGATTGAAACCATGAAGGAACCAAGCCGTCAGATGGAATTTCCGGAGATGCAGATGAAGAAGCTGACCACAGTTCTGGGAGAGGAGATCTGGTCTGTCGGGGAGAGTTCTTGGAGGACGGATGGACATGCGTAACAGGTAAGGAAATCATGTTTGTCTGGGCCAAGCTGGGGCAATAAGTATGACCCAGGCCTTGTCCTCTGTGATCTTGCTTAGGACCCTGTGTATCAGTGGAGTCGGTGGAAAAGCTTACATGAGGGAGTCATTCCAAGGAATGAGGAACGCATCCTCTAGAGATGTGTGCCCGAGTCCGATTCTGGAGCAAAATAGATGGCATTTGTGGTTTTGAGGAGTGGCAAACAGGTCTATTGACAGAGTGCCCCAGTGGGAGAAGAGCTGTCAGAGTATTGTGGGACGTAATTCCCATTCGTGTTCTTCAGAGAAGTGTCTGCTGAGTGTGTTGGCGGTAGCGTTGTGACACCCAGGCAGGTGATTTCTATTTGATGTTGTATGCACCAATTCCATAGTCGGATGGCTTCTGTGCATAGGGAGTGAGATCATGTTCCCCCCGCCTGTTGATGTAGAACATACATGCTATATTGTCCGTCAGAACTTGAGCCAACCCTGAAGGCATCTCATGTGCAGCCTGGCATATTTGACCACAAAGGTGGTGGCTTCCATGTGACCAAGAAGCTGTAGGCAGACCCGTGCCTGTATTCTGGGGTGAACAGAGATAGTGCATATGAGATGCGTAATAGTGAGGAATCTGTGGTGTGGAAGCGAGGCTCTGGTTCAAATCAAGTCCAGGTGAGCTCCTATGAATTCTATCTGCTGTGTAGGTATCGGGGCAGATTTTTTGAAATTTATTTTCAAGTCTAGACTGTGGAAAAGAGAGATGGTAAAGTTCGTCGCTTTTAACATCTCGTCGTAGGAGCTGGCTTTGATAAGGCAGTCATCTAAGTAGGGGAAAAATATAATCCCGTGTTTGCGGAGGTGGGCTACAACTACAGCTAGGGTATTGAAAGTGGTCGTGTCCGAGTGTGAATCACAGGAAGCATCTGTGTGCTGGGTGAATGGATATATGGAAATAGGCGTCTTGTAGGTCGAGGGCTGTGAACCAGTCCCCTTGTTCCAGCATGGGTATTATTGTGTCCAACGTAACCATCTTGAATTTTTGTACAAACTTGTTCAGTCAGCGTAGGTCTAATATAGGTCTCCTCCCTCGCTTTTCTTTTGCATCAGAAAGTAGTGGGAGTAGAACCCTTTTCCCTGATGTTGCGTTGGTACATGTTCGACTGCACCTAGGTGGAGAAGACGAGTCACCTCCACGCGGAGAAGGTGCTCGTGAGAAGGGTCCCTGAAGAGGGACGGGGAAGAGTAAAAGGTGGGCGGGGAAGATAAGAAAGGGATGGAGTAACCTGACTGAACTATTTCCAGGACCCAGCGGTCCTGCATGATCTGTTGCCAGACATGGTGGAAAGCCTGGAGGCGGTAGCCAAATGGGCAAATAGGCGGTGGAGTCAAGGGGTGGTCGCTCAGACCCCCGACCAGCACTTCAGAATTGTTGTTTGTTACCCGATGGGTGGGAAGTAGTTGGTTGCACCTGGTTTTGCCTGCACCTAGGAGGTCTGTTGCGGTTTCTCCCAGTGTCATACGGTCTGGACTGGGGTCAGTGATATTGTTGTGCATGGGGCCACTGATAAGGTTGATAGCGTTGTCTCCTAGGGATGGATGGGTATATGTCTAGTGTGCGCAAAGTGGCTCTAGATTCTTTCATAGTGTGAAAGACTTCACCGTTTTTGGGGGGGGGGTTTTGGAAAAGAGTTTATCTTTGTCAAAGGGAAGATCCTCCACTTTGGTCTGCAAATCTTTTGGGATACCGGATGGAGACGGCCAGGAAGACCGGCACATCACCACTGCAGTGGCAGTGGTGCGGGCTGCTGTATCTACTATGTCCATGGACGCTTGTAGTGCCATCCTAGACACCAACTAACCTTCGATGAGGACTGACTTGAAGTCCATTCTCCTGTCCTCCGGTATATGGGAGGCAAAATCAAAGAGCTTGTTATAGTTGTCATAGTCATAGCTTGCGAGGAGGGCAGAATAATTTGCCATTGTAAATTGTAGAGTAGAAGAGGTATAAACTTTGTGGCCCAGGAGGTCAAGGCGTTTGAGGTCCTTGTCCTGTGGAGTGGGCCGGTAGCGTGGCTGCTTTGTTCTCTGCGTTGCTGCACCCACCACAAGAGAATTGGGTTGTGGGTGGAAAAATAAGAAATCGATGTCCTTCACAGGCAAGTAGTATTTATGTTCAGCTTTCTTGCATGTTGGTGGGATGGAGGCAGGGGTCTGCCAGAGAGTATCAGCTGGTTCTAGGAGGGCTTAGTTTATGGGTAGTGCGATCTTTGAGGGTGCAGAGGGTTGGAGGATTTTGAGGCGTCTATGTTGTGTTTCCTGGACTTCCTCCAAAGGGATGTCCTAACTGAGTGCCACCCTCTTGAAAAGATCCTGGAATTGCTTAAAGTCGTTCACGTTTTGTGGAGGTGGAGGCATGAGGGCATCCTCTGTGGCTGATGGTGAGGCAGGAGCCAGTAAATCCGGGAAGGGTTCATAGCCCACCTCTTCAAGAGGGGGTTCAGGACTCTAGATGTTGATGGAGCTGGGGATATAGGTGTAGGATGAGCTTGCGGTCTGGTAGAAGGGGCGCAAGGAGGAGCCATGGCAGGAGCTGACCACGGATATCACTGAGGCCAGGGCACTGGGTAGGAAAAGTTGGGTCCCGGCCACTGGGGGACAAAGTAGGAAAACTGAGGCTGATTCTTATGATGCACCATGTCTTGGGATGTGTATGGCTCCAGTGGAGGGAGAGACTCAGGCAGGGAGAACTCTGCCTGCTGATGTATGTCGTTCCCGCTGTCAGTTAAAGTAGCCAGGTCAAGTGATGAGAGCTGCTGTTCAAACTGAGTGCTCCATGTCCAGGAGCAGAGAGTCAGGCTCAGGGGCCACAGAGATATCCTGCTGATGCAGGAATTGTTGCTGCTCCATAGGCTGGTGTGCTGCGGAGCATGAAGTGTGAGTGGCAGACCGGAGTGATTTTTGTTCCGCTTTTGTAGGAGCTGCAAGATATTTGTGAGAGCCCCGCAGGGGGTCTGAATCTGGCAGGCAGGCTCGGTGCTGACGTTCTTGTGGGCACTGGGGTGGAATGCGTTGCTAGCACCAGGTCCATTATCGGTGCCGGCAGCACTGGTGCCAAGGAGAGCTTCCCGTTGCGGGAAGTCGGGTCTCTGCTTTTGCGCCCCACGAGAGTTGCTGCTGAAGTGCTGGGGCGGTCAGTGTTGCCTGCTCTCAGCGCTGTCAGCACCAAGGGTAAAGACCTTGCAAGAGATCCTTTATCCTTTTGAGTGTCTCTGAGAGTAGAAATTAGGGCTTCCTGCCAATTCCCATGAGAGGGTGAAGCCGTGCTCCCGGTCAGTTCTGACTTGGCCGGGGAGTGTGAGGGAGAGGGTTTACTGCCCTCCTCCATAGGCGGCTGCAGAGCTTTCTCCATTAGAAGCATTTTTAGCCGCAAGTCTCTGTCACGGCGAGCTCTAGTTTTTAAGTGGTGCAGTGGAGACACTTTGCAGGGACGTGTGTCTCGCTGAGGCATTTAATGCAGAGTGCCTGCCTGTCAGACCACAGCATAGACTTCTTGCAGGAGCCACATTTCTTAAAGCCTGGTGACCCCGGCATAATGAAAGTATGAGTGGCCGGGGAAGTCTCAATGAGAGACTAACGTTGGGGGGGGGGGTGAATTTTAAACTAACGAACTATGCTAAAGGAAAGGGAGAACTGGGAAATGGCTAGCTAACTATTTCTATTTTTTCTACTTATTTCCTACAGAAACCAGGGAAGAGATGAGCACTGCCCCGAGTCCCGTCTTCAGCCAAGGACGGTTGAGAAGGAACTGAGGGGGGTGCGGGACGCACGCACTCAGGCAGACCCTAATGACGCTGCGAGACAGCAGCTGAGTGCATGCGTCCTAACCAGACACTGCTACCGAAGATCTCCGATCAATGGCACCGGGATCCACCGTCACCTGGAGTGGAGCACCCACAGGGACAGCACTCGAAGAAGAATTCCCCACCTACAAGGTAGGCAATGATACGGAGGCCTTCTTAGAAAATTTCTAAAGGGCCTGCCTTGGGTACAGCATCTCTACAGACCAGTATATGGTGGAGCTGAAGCCGCAACTCAGTGGACCCTTAGCAGAGGTGGCAGCTGAAATGCCTAAAAAACACATGAACTACTATGAACTTTTTTTTTAAAAGGCCAGAATTAGAATGGGGCTAATACCCGAGTGTGCCCGTTGGCGGTTCAGAGCACTATGGTGGAAACCAGACATGGCATTTTCTGACACGCCTACCACATTGTAAAAAATTGGGATGCCTGGATATCAGGAGCAAGTGTTAAATCTCTGGAAGATCTGTGTCTCCTAATGCAAATGCAGTAGTTCTTGGAGAGTGTTCCTGAGGAAATAGAAAGGTACATCCTAGATGGGAAGCCCAAAACTGTAATCGAGGCAGGGGGGATCAGAACCAAATGGGTGGAGGTGGCGGAGAAAAAGAAAGCTAGTAGCAGTTGGATGGAGCAACTGGAGTGGAGTTGTCAGAAGGGGCAACCCAAGACAACACCCTACCACTGGCGGCAGCCCAAGGCCCCACCTACACCCCAAGGAAAACCCCAGACACCTTATCGTCCCACCACACCATTCTCCAGCAATCCACCTCGCTCCAGTGACCAGTCAGCTGGGCGATGTTTTAAATGTAACGAGCTGGGGCACGTAAAGGCCAACTATCCCAAGAACCCCAACAGATTGCAGTTCATTGCACCGGAATCACACCAAAGGTCCTCCAGCCCAGATCTTTCCCAGATACCCTCAGAGCGAAGGGAAACTGTGAGTGTGGGCAGAAAGAAGGTTATCGCATGGAGGGACACTAGAGCACAGGTGTCAGCTATCCACCAATCCTTAGTGGACCCCAAATTCATCAACCCAGAGGCCCAAGTGATGATTCAACCCTTCAAGTCAAATGCTTTAAACTTGCCTACAGCCAAGTTGCCTGTCCAGTACAAGGGCTGGTCAGGAATGTGAACTTTTGTCATAAATATAAAGGGAAGGGTAACAACCCTTATGTATGCAGTAACATAGAATCCCTCCTGGCCAGAGGTACATAATCCCCTTACCTGTAAGGGGTTAATCAGTTCAATTAACCTAGTTGGCACCTGACCAGAAGAACCATTGGGAAAAGAAGCTACTTTCAAATCTGGGAGTGGGGGAGGTTTTGTTTGGGCTTTCTTTGTTTTGTTCCCTCTTGGACAGAGAGAGAGACCATGGCAGGAAAAAACATCTCCTAAAAACATACCTAACATAAGCATCTAACATTACAAAAATTGTAAGTAAAGCAAGGAAATGTGTTAGATCATCTTTTGTTTTAGCTTGTGAATTTTCCCTATGCTAAGAGGTAATTTTATTCCTGTTTTGTAGCTGGGAAGCAGAGTCAGAGGGGAGTCCTCTGTGTTTAAAATCTTTTTATCTACCCTGTAAAGTTACCTTCCATCCTGATTTTGAAGGTGTGATTCTTTTCCTTTTTTAAAAAAATAAAATTCTTCTTTTAAAAACCTAATTGGTTTTCAGTGTCCATGCGGGCAGGGGACTGGACTCGATGACCTCTCGAGGTCCCTTCCAGTCCTAGAATCTATGAATCTATGAAAAAACTAGGGGTTTGGTCTGTGCTCACTTTGTAACCAATTGGTTAGTATATTATTCTCAAGCCTCCCCAGGAAAGGCGGTGAAGGGACTTGGGGGAATATTTTGGGGAAATAGGGCTCCAAGTGACCCTTCCCTGAATGTTTGTTTAAATCACTTGGTGGTGGCAGCAATACCGTCCAAGGACAAGGAAACGGAATT